AGATGCTGGCTGTGGGTCAGGGCCTGCCAGGTCCTGGCTGGGCCTCCTCTTGACCCGGTTCTGTCTGCAAGGTCCTGTTTCCGAAGGTCACCATCACTGGTCCCCAGGATTAGGTTCTTCCCAGCTCTGCCCAGGTGTGTGGCTCGTGCTGAGTCCCTGTTTTACCGGTGGGGAAAGAGATGTTCAGAGTCGTGCTCATAGTCACCACTGAACTGAAAGGCATTCAGGTGGGATTCCAACCTCGATTTCCACTGTGCTGGTTACCTGCAGTGGACATTTTTAATAAGCCATGGTTGGAGCCCTGCCCGGAGACTCCCGACTTTCCCTGTGGGGTCCACTTCTTCCTGTCCCCTGCCTCTGCTGTCATATATGCCCTGGGCCAAGCAAGGGGCCTCACTGCTGAAAATTCCCACCCTCGCCTCTTTTGCCATTTTAAAAAACTATGGAGTAGTTTTTCTGCCATTTTCTACTTAGTTGTTTTTGGCCACAGTTGACCATGGGCAAAAGAATTCACAGAACCCGAGGTTTTTACAGCTCAGCGTGGTGGCTGGGGTTTTCCCCCCAGAGGCTTCATCTCTGAGACAAGCGCTAAATTGCAGTGTGGGTCTTACAGGTTGCTGTGCAGGTTTGTGAGTTTGTGCCAGAGCCCTTGCAAGATCGCCCTTCAGTACCTGACAGGGAGTCCCACAGCAGCAGCTGGGGTCACAGAGGCCCATGGCAAGGGGTGTCCGCTCTTTGTGGCCACTGTCTTTGGCTTCCTTTCCAGCTGGGTGCCCGAGTTCCCGCCTGAGTCAGTGGAAAAGACCTTCGACCCGAGATGGGGAGGACCCAAGTGTTACTACTCCTGCCTCCTCCTGAAAGCCCAGGACTCCTTCACACTTTAAGGATCTGCAGAGTTGTGCACCGCCTGCCAGAAAGGTTGGGGTGAGGTGCACCCTGGGTCATTCGAGTTGGTACTGGAGGCAGAGGGTGGGGGAGCTGGTCAGCTGGGCCCTCACCCTGTGTGCTGTTCCGTTTCTCACCACGAGAGGGACACGGACCACCACGGATGCTTGAAAAGGGAAGCAGGTCTCTAGCTGGACCTTTTCCCTTGTATTAAAAAAAACTCGATTCATATAGGTTCACGTGTTTACCGGTACACGGTGACAGCCAGGTATGTGTGCACAGTGCGTGGTGGTCACAGTTCCTCCCCAACAAACACTGACCGTTTCTGTGTGTGAGACGCCTTGGGCTTGGGCCTCTTGGACTGAGGCATCTTACTGCTCAGCACCTGGGATTCCTCTGTCCTCCCCCGTGAGCATTTATTTAAACGACAGCTTCCTTCATGGTGCTCCAAAGAGGAAATCATCGCTGCAGCTCAAGATTTTTGCGAACCCTGTGCTACTGTTTGCCTCAGTCAGGTGGCAGATGGCTTCACCAATGAGCCCCGGTCATCGTCCTGCGCGTCACGTCAGAAACAATTGCTAAGCTCTGCCTGTCCCTGGGCTGGGAGGTGGCATTGGGACGTAAGCACGTGGTATACAAAGGCCGTTTTTAATGATTTTTTGACTCAATTGTCTCTTCTTCCACGTGGAAGGGGAGGGACTTTTGCTTCCTCTCCTCGCCCATCTGGGCAACATCGTGAGGAGATGTGGGTGGCAGCGAGTCTCCCACCAGACCCCAGTGGGTGCCGGGAGAGCTGTAACCAGGCTGGCCTGCAGGCAGGTGTCACAGGGCCTGATGCCTTGTGTCCCTACAGCTCCCTCTGCTGATGGTGAACTGTCAGTGCAGGTTGGGTGTTATGTGTGATTTTATTTGCAGACTCATCTCGTCAAGTTCTGGTGAACATTTCAAACTTACAAATTTTTATCTTCTTTTAAAATTCTTTGTCTGACAAGCAGAGCTCTGGGTGTTCAGATTCTAGTGCAGACTTGCTCTGTGGCCGCAGGGGCTCTGCAGGGTGTGCTGTGGTAGCCCCACCTATACCTCCTGCCTCTGCAGCTTCTGGCTTGTTTCCTTCTGAGGCAGGATCCCACAGTGCCCCCACTGGCCTTGAAATCGAGGTGCTCCTGCCTCAGCCTCCTTGGTGCAGGTGTTACAGATGTGCATCAGTGTGCGTGGCTCATCTGTGTGGGTTCTGCATGGGATGGAGAAGCTAAGGACCGTGGGTGTATTTTTATGCTGTATCAGCAGTGTCGGGTGAGACTTTGCCCTGCTTATAGCTTAGTTTGGTTAAAGCCCTTGGTCAGGGTGCCGCCCCGGCCGCATTTGTGTTACTGAGGTTGAGACAGTTTTTCCTGTAGTCCAGGCTGGCTTTGAGTTCCCTGTGCAGCCCAGCATGGCCTCAACCATCTGGTGGTGACCCTGCCTCAGCCTCTGGGGCACAGCTGCTTTGGGTCTCAGCTGTGAGCACTCTTTATCCTGGTTCTTGACTCGGGTGCTGACCACTCTCCGAGCTCCTGGTTGGGGCTTGCTCTCACTGCGTGTTTAGTCTTTGCCAGTGGAGTCATGAGTGGCCATCCCCACTCTGGGGCCCAGCCTGGCCAAAGCCACTGCAGGGCTGGGCCCGTGGATGGGGTCTGCTGGACCCTCTGATTGTAGCTGGGACACAGCTACAAGTGCCGTGGGCTTCTACTCGGGAGTGAAGGGCTCTGTCACTCTGCTACTGTGAGACTCGTTGTGCCCATCCCGTGTGACAGTCCTTGTCCACTCCGTGGTTCTGATGCCTCCGTGCCATCCTGAAGCAATGCCACAGCACAGGTGGTCTCATTAGGCTGGACGGTAGCGGCTTGGGAGATGCAATCCAACTTTTTCCAGAGCTGGAGATGAGTGGCTTTCTGAATAGCAGCAGTTGCACTGGCTGGCGGCGCTGGGACGGTTTAATGTCCTTAATGTCTCTTCCCTCCCTGCACATCATGGTGGCCTAGCACGGCTGCTCCCATACTGTTTCAGATGGGCCTGGGCTCATGTTGGGGACAGATGCATTTCTGGGGCAAGGGCTACATCCTGAGGGTTCCCTTTGCCTTTGACAGGCGCTGGCCCTGGCCTGCAAAGTTGATCCCAGGGACCCTCTCCTGGCTCAGACGTGTCATGGGGGCGGCAGAGTGTGCAGGATTGGGGGTGTTGGGAGGCAGAGAAGCTGGGAGTTGGTGCACCCGGGTGCCCAGACCTCTGAATCTGCCCTGGGGTTCCGAAAGCTCATGGAGAAGCTTCTGGTTCTGTGGCTGGCTGCTCGGTTATTGTAATGAAGAGATTTTTGGAATAATGTTTTATTTGTCTGCATCTCATAATGTCTATGCCAAGACACACAGTCAGCCTCGACTGCAAGCCAGTTTGGAACCAGAGAACCTTGGTATGGAGCTTAATATATGGGAATTTAAAAAAATCCATCTGTAAAAGGTTCACACACAGTGGGTACGTCTCCAAGAATAACATAAACCTTGCTTTTAACATTAACTTCCAAGGAATTTTACTTAACAAAACTAATCTCAAGCCCTCACGTGAGCTGAATGAAGCAGCGGTTCTGGCCACCTGGTTCTCTATGTGACAGCTGGGCCTGGAGAGTGATTTCCCCATCAGTGCCGATAGGTAGAATCCAGGTACAGACCTCCTTCCTTCACCCGTCTCTCAGTTCCTTCCCTTTTGCAAAAGATCCATCCCTCATTTCCTGTTAATCGCTTTTATTTTGCCCTGTATTTGTAGTTTGGGTTTCTAATAAGAATTGTCCTGCTGTCTGGGCTGCCCAGCACCTCGGCAGGGCCACCTGCCTGCAGCCTGAGGTTTCAGGACACTGGGATGCTGCTGCCTGGAGAGGGTGGGCGGTGGCCCCAGAGCCATCCGTGCCAGACTTTGCTGCACAGCTAAGGGGGAAACTCAGCAAGGGAAGGTGGAAGCCTTGAGCCCCACCATACATGCCCAGCCTTCTCCCACACTACTAAGTGCACCCCACTTGGTTGCTCTGGCGCACCCCACTTGGCTGCTCTGGGTCAGGAGGAATACCCCAGGTCACACTGGACTGGTTCAATTTATCTGAGTAAGATAGTTTTAAATATTCGGAGTGCTTCTCGTGCAAAAGCTAAACTGCCTCTCTGCAAATGTCTACTGAAAAGTCAAGTTTTAAAACTGAAAATATTTTAAAGTTCATGTTGTGTTCAGAGTATTGTCCTAAAAACTTGATCAACCTTGTGCACTTGGGAGACTGTGTATTTCCCCCTTTCCTGTGTACAGTTTTCAAGGATTTGGTGCATTCTATCCTTACTTTAGCATTAATTTGAAGGAATGACCAACTGTCAGCTATTTCAAGGTATTTTTATTATATAGATTTTCAATATTCAGTAAACTACATCAAATGTCAGATATCTGGATTTTTATTTTTTCCAGTACTGGAGTTTGAGCCTAGAGCCTTAGCCTTGAGCTGATCCCCAGCCCATTTTTATTTTTTACTTGCAGACGGGCTTTTGTTAAGTCAGTGAGTTGTTCAGACTGGGCTCAAACGTGTGGTCCTCCTACTTCAGCCTCCCAGAGTGCTGGGATTACAGGCCTGCACCAGCACACCTGGCTTTTACTGTGCTTGCTTTTTAGGACATATCTATAGGAATCTTTTTCTGGAACTGAATACTCTTCTGTTCAGTTCTTGGTGGCCAGTGAGGAAATCTGTTGGGTTGGATGGCAATGTTTTCCCCGGCTCTGGGTTGCATGTGGGAGGCAAAAACCCCTTGGGCATCCAAACAAGAGTGACAGAGGAAACCGAGTAACTGAGCTCTCCTCTTCCATTTTAAGACTGACCTTTCACTTGCTGCAAGGCTGGGGTGGTGGTGGTGGCGCAGGGCCACCCTGGTCGGGAGTGTTCAGGGCCCTGGTTCAAGGCTGATGGGAGCAGCTCGCCCCTCCACACCAGGTGTCTTGTGCAGGACCCTGCGCGTCTTGGCTTCTCCTCTGCCTGGGTGGGTGGAGCCTGACAGCTGTCTGGAGTTTGTCTGGGCCCGCAGGGTGCAGCTCTAGGGCCACCTCTGCCCTGACAGGAGCAGGGCGGAAGCTGCCACAGGACAGTGGCCCGGTTATGTGGGTAGAAGCCTTCTGCTCTGGGCAGTTTGCAGGACCTGCTTCGTGTCTGGGTACTGGTGAGCGTGTGGCCTGCGGTGCCACTGTCCCAGCGTAAGGAATTAGCTGATCTTTCTCATAAGCACAGTGCCCGGCCAGACCTCTATGTAGCTGCAGCTGCAGGCTGGACGGACAATTGGGGCCGGGCCGTGTTGGGCATGCACCATGAGTGACTTTGAAGAATGGATTTCTGGGGCCTACAGGAAGGTGGAGGAGGGTCCCCTCCCACTGCTGACGTTTGCCACTGCCCCCTACCACGACCAGAAACCCGGAACCAGTGGGCTCCGGAAGAAAACCTACCATTTTGAGGAGAAGCCATGCTACCTGGAGAACTTCGTGCAGAGCATATTCTACTCCATAGACCTGAAAGATCGCCAGGGCTCGTCCCTCGTGGTCGGCGGAGATGGGCGCTATTTCAATAAATCGGCCGTGGAAACCATAGTGCAGATGGCTGCCGCCAATGGGGTTGGTACCGGATGAGTATCTTTGCCTCTGGCTACCTCCGTAGCCCCCTGCTTTGCAGAAGCGTGCAGATGTGTGCGGGGCGTGTGCATTGGGGCTGCTGACGTCTGCTTACCCCTTATGGTGACTTCTGAGGCAGTGTCAGAAACAACTCTGGACTTGTGGGAGTCACTTTGGCATCAGGGTGTGGTTGTTATGCTCTATCTCTTGATGCCCTGAGGCTTTTTACTTATTTTTTGTCTTTTTGAGACAAGGTTTCGATATGCAGTTCAAGTTGTCCCTGAGCTCACTTTGTAGCCCAGGCTGGTCTCGAATTTGCAGCCATCTTTCTGCTTCAGCCTCCTGGGTGCTAGGATGACAGGCTTCTGAGGGTTTTTAAAAGCGAGTCCTGACATTAAGCTTTTGTCTTTCCATACTGTGCAGGGCACCTGGCCTGTGCGGTGGGCTGCTGTGAGTGGGGTGGGGGTTCGTGGTGCTGTTGCCAAGCTTCCTTGCTGAAACGCCGTCACTTGTGAGACAGGAAGACCCAGGCAGGCCTGCTCTCGTGCAGAGCTCTGGAGTCAGGCAGCAGTGCTAGGAGAGTCAAAGAGTGAAGCATGACCTCCTAAGTTATGGTGGCAGTGGGCTGTCTGTGATGACCCCGAACGCAGTGGAGCTCATGTGAGGAGCCTGTGTGAGTGGAGGTGGTGACTCCTGTGAGCTGCCCTGAAGGGGCACTGCAGCTCACGAACAGTGCTGGAGGACTGAACAAAGCACCCCAGGGACTGTGCAGAGGTGCAGCCTTCCCGGGATGTCGGGATGTCGGGTGCTGCTGCTTTCCCTCTGCGGACTTCTGTGGGGGCAGTCGCGGTGACTTGCAGAGTTTTGGATCTCGCTTCAGTCCCCGCGTGCGTCCGCTCTGTCTGTCATCTGTCACGTTCTTTTCTGGAGGAAATTCCAGCTTTGAGGTCATGAAATTCAGCCTGGCAAGACTGTGTCGGGTGTTTGCTTTCAGTCTGTTTTATTCCTGTGCCAAGCCATATGTATGTTTACAAAAACCAAATGAAAAAGGAAAAACAAAACAAACAACCCCATGAAGTGAAAGTAAAAGAAAGTGTCTGTCCGTCCTGCTGTTTATCAGGTGAGGCCTCCTAGATCCCAGTTTTAGCATCCGAATGTCTCTGGCATAGAAGTTGCTGATAAAGCCCTCAGATATGAAATTATTATGAAGCACACACATTTTTAAGATAAAATGTGACATGTCGTAAATTTCTTCTTTGAGGAGAGCCGCACGGGGAATGGTATTAAGATGCTTTTAATCTTTGGAAAGGGACGGAGGGGACATTATTTCTACGCATATATCTGCACTGTGGCGGGGCTCTGGTACACTGTCCCCTCGGCTGTGATAGATTTGGCTTCATTTCATTTCTGTGCTGGGCTGAAGGATGTAGGCGAGGTGGGCGGAATGTGTAATTCAGGCCGGCCCACGGCTTTCCCAGATTTACTATCTGCAGCCGTGCTAAATAATGCATCCAGGCAGTAACTGGCTGAATCCGGGAGCCGTGTTTGGTAGCTATGGCCGCCCGGGCGGTATTTTCCAGTCTTTTCAAGGGCATTCCTTATTAAAAATAGCATTGCACAGGAAGCATTGTGCTGGCCAGACAGGCTCCTTCACAGTTAGTGGGGTGGTGGGCTCCGCACTGTGGTGAAGCCTGCGAGGGTCTGCAAGGTTTGCTTTGTGCTTTTATTGGTCGTTTTCACACTGTTCTGGCTGCGGGTGGGACCGCAGGGAGGACTCCGGAGGCAGGATGAGCGTCCACACCAGTTTTGCAAGATGGTGCTCCTTTCTCTTGAGGCTACTGGACTGAACGGAGGCCATTTTGTTTCCTCCTTTAGTACACTTTAACCTGGTGCCTTTAAGGCGTACAGACTGTAGTTAGCCTTGATGGAAGTCTCTCTAGCTGGGTGCAAGGGTGCAGGCCTATAATCCCAGCCCCAGCAGGCTGAGTCAGGAGGATCACAGGTTTAAGGCCAGCCTCGGCCTCCAGATAAGTAATGAGCAGTAATCGTCTGGGCTGGGGAGGTAGCTTGCAGGTAAAGCACTTGCCTGGCATGTGCTGGCTGCACCCTCACAAGTGTCCGGCTGCAGTTACTGCCAAGCTGGTGGCAGGTTTGAGTCCCCAGGCAGAGGTTTAGGAGGGCAGGGAAATAGGTGAGGCCCCGGGGCCTGGGCTGGGCCAGAGAGGATGCCCTGCACGTGGCATTGGGCTGAACATTTCAGCCTCGTGCTGTACTCATCCAGGGCCTTGGTGAACTCTGTGGTGGTGCGCGGCCCTCGCCCTGTCTGCCACTGAACTTTGTCATCCTCCTAGACAGGGACAGCTCCTGTTCCCCACCTTCAGCCTGGAACCAACTGCTACTTTCTGTCCCTGTGAATTTGCTAGGTGCTCCTTGTCAGGAGAGTCATCCCTTTTTTGTGGGAGAGGGGATTGAATCCAGGGCTCACACCTGCCACCAGCTATCTTGCAGCCCCAAGTCCTTATTTTTTGAGACAGTGTCTCCCTAGGTTGTCCAGGTAGGCCTCAAAAGTTGGGATCGTCTGCCTGGCCCTCAGCCTCCTGGGTAGCTGGGATTACAGTTGTGTACCATGGTTCCCGGCCAATATTTGCCCTTTTTCTGTTACTTCATTGGCGTAATGTTTTCAAGACTCCTCGTAGAAAATCAACACGGCTCCGAGTTCAGTTCCCTTCTCTGACTGATCCTGTGTGCGGCCTTCTGGTCACACCTGGGTCTGAAAGAGAAGTATCAACTTTGAATTCGGTGGCTGGATTTTAAAAACTGTAGTGGAAGTGTCTCAATTGTGTTGAAGTGTGCAGTTGTGTTACATGCACGTGGTTATGCAACAGATGTGCAGAACTTTCTCATTTGGCCAAACTGGAGCTCCACACCCCAGGAGCTGGGACTTCCCCAGCCTAGGCACCCCTCCCCTGTCACCGTTTCTCTGCTTTTGACCACTTTAGACTCCTCACCCCATGGCATTTGTCTCTGTGTGATGTCCCTGCCTTTGCCCAGGCCATGTGCAGACCGGTTTTTTTTTCCCTCCTTTATCTCTACTTCTTCACTTCCCCATGTACTTTGTGACTCTTTCAAGTCTGATCTTCATTTTAAAGGCTGAGTAATATTCCCTCGTGTACAAGCTGGACATTTATTGAACTGTCCACCATCTGGCAAAGGGGCCTTGGGTTGTTATGAACAAGGCCGGCTGGAGCAGGGGTGCACAGGTATCTGCCAGGTCTTGTGTTTGGGTCTTGGGGTTTGACTGAGGAGTTGGGTTTCCAGGTCAGATGCCCAGGGAATTCCAAGGCTGAGCGGGTGGATGGGCAGGGCAGGGTGTGTTCAGCTGGAAAAGTGGGGAAGTAGCTGTGCCATCCGGGGAGTCACAGGCCCTGAGGGGCCCTTGGTGCCTTCATTGGCTTCGAGGCACATGTCCCCTTGCTGTCCCCGCCTTGGTCTCCCAGCGGTGACCTTGTACCTGCAGACCCTGCTGTGAGGACGCTGGAGTGGAGGGGCCTGGGTGGAGCTTAGCCTCTGTCCACTTGGCTTGCACTGCTTCCATGCAGAAGCCAAGGTGAGGATGGGGAGCTGGGTGTGCAAGCCCTGCCCTGCCCAGCAGCTGTGGGACGCCCCGCCCTCCCTTTCCTGGATCCTTCCGGCATCCCTGTCCCACTGTAGGCTGAAAGTCTCGTGCTGTCCGTGACCATGTGAGCATCTTGTCTGCCTGGCCCGTCCTGTCAGCGTGTGTCACCATGTTGTCAGGCTCTGGGCCTCAATGTCTCTGGGCTTGGGCGGATCAGTGGTGAAAAGGGACGGAAGGTGGCCCAGGTGCAGAGGGCATTGGGCAGTTCCGAGACAGCTGTTGGCATGGACACTGCCGCAGCTGTGGCTCCTTTGGCCTGCGGAGCCCCTGCCTGTAGCCCCAGCGGGAGCCAGGTACCCAGGGTGGCTGCTGTTCAGGGAGAGACCTCGAGAGCCCAGAGGGAAGAAGGGAACAGGCTGCTTCAGGGCTTCAGTAGTGGGCTGCACCAGGAAGCTGTCGAGGCTGGCAGGGCGGAGCCCCCGGAGAAGTACCCCCCAAGGGACTCGGCCGTCCCCTTGGCTCCAGGTCTTTTTCATAGAACACTCCTTTCTTTTCCACAGATGTCAGAGAAATGGATAGAGCTTGTCCGACTTGGGCCATATTGGAGCAGATGTAAATTGTTGTCATTTCAGCATGGGGAGTCAGGCACCAGGCTGGGTCCCCCTGTGGGAGATTCAGGAAAGTCAGCCAGGACTGCAGGGAAAGTCACAGCACAGCCTCATCCTGGGTACTGTCTTGGGCCCTGAAGTCACTGGGGCCCCTGACCCCAGGAGGTGGACCCAGGACACCAGAAGTCCCAGCTTGACTGGAGAGGGACTTGTGTCAGGTGGCTTTGCGTTGGTCCTGGTGTCAGCTTTGCCTCTCTCCCCTCTCCATGAGAGCTGGGCTTTATGAAGGCCTCCTCCTCGGGCAGAATCCCTTCACTGTGGAAACCCATGTCTTCTCTAGCTATGACTGAAAGGGGCTGAGCTAAGTAAAAGTTCTGTTTGAAAAGATGCACACTGCACCGGATCCCGAAGAGCCCATCAGACCCCTGCAGCGCCCAAGCCGCCCCACCCCTGCCTGCCTCTGTGGCTGTGGCCAAAGGGCAGGTGCTGCATGGGGCCCTGCATCACCCACCGTGGGTGCTCCTCACTATGTGCTGGGTCCCTGCTGCCTGCTGGGCCGTGGCTCTGGGGTCAGGTGGCCTTGTGATGTTGAGTGTGCTCAGTTCCCTCACTCTAGATCGGTCGCCTGGTCATCGGGCAGAACGGGATCCTCTCCACCCCGGCTGTGTCCTGCATCATCAGGAAGATCAAAGCCATCGGTGGGATCATCCTGACGGCCAGCCACAACCCAGGGGGGCCCAACGGGGACTTTGGGATCAAGTTCAACATCTCTAACGGAGGTGAGTCTGCGGCTGGTCGAGGGCTTCCAGCCAGGTGACCTGGCGCTGGGGGACAGTGGGGCTTGTCCTCCACAGAGGGGAGGGCGTCTTGGCTTGGTCCACAGCTATGAGATGCTTCCCACACCTGCATGGCCATGCAGGGGCGCTGTCCCTCCCCTGACCGAAGGATACCCGCCCCATCAGGGTGCTGAGGGTCCCTGTGCCACACGGGGGAAGCTGGGCTCTGGGCCCTCCGTGTTTCCACGGTGACCACATCCACGGTTGTGTCCCCAGGCCCCGCTCCCGAGGCGATAACGGATAAGATCTTCCAGATCAGCAAGACCATCGAGGAGTACGCAATCTGTCCTGACCTGAAGGTGGACCTGAGCGTGCTGGGCAAGCAGCAATTCGACCTGGAGAACAAGTTCAAGCCCTTCACAGGCACGTCTGCACCCCATCCTGCCCTGCCCCATCCTCACCCCGAGGCCAGGCCCATCCACTGACCCTGCGCCGGCCCCCCGGAGGCTTCCCCGCCAAGGCAGCAGTGGGGAGCGCTTCGCTGCTGACCGCCAGGGCTGGGGTGCCTGACAGGAGGGGCTTGGGGGCTCATCCACTGTGCCTTGGCCTCACCCCAGGGGTGCCTGTCCTCTTTACTGTGACGTCAGTTGCACCCGCTGAGAGCTGACAGGGAAGACCTAACAAAGACTTGGGGGCCCCTCAGGGAGCTCCAGGGCTGCCTAGGGTTCAGGAGACACCAACTGAGACCTCCCCAAACTCCTCCTGGCTTAGAAATAGTGGAGCCCCTGAAAATTCAGTAACAAAAACAGTAACAGTACTCAGTTCGTGCATTTGTTTTACTCCGTGAACAGTACATGTAAAAAGTAATTCATGAAAGTTTTTTGAGCCAGACACAGTGCCTATAGTCCCATTAACTTGAGAGGCTGAGGCAGGAAGACTCCTTTAGCTCGTGAGCTCAGGGCCAGCCTAGGCAATACAGTGAGATCCTGTTTTATCTTTTTTTTTAAAAAAAGCTTTTTAAAATCTGACTTCTTACCATTATGTGGTTTTTTTGTTAGGTTTTTGTTTTTTGTTTTGTTTTGTTTTGTTTTGTTTTGTTTTGTTTTGTTTTGAGACAGGGTTTCACTATGCAGGTCAGGCTGTTTTATGTACACAATGGTTGCCCTCAAAAATCACAGCCCTCTTCCTGCCTCAGCCTCCCCAGTGTTGGGATAACAGGTGTGTGCCAACATGCTCAGCAGGGAGGCAGAATTTATCCAGCCTGATGGGAAACCCCATGCATGGGCAGGGCAAGGCGGACAGGGCAGGGCAGGGTGGGGCAGGCAGGTTTCCTCCGTCTTTCAGACCTTGGGTTCCTCCCCGTAAGATGGGACTAGTAGTGTTTGCCTCTGAGGACTCAGTTGGTGTTAAGATGTCGCAGACAGTCCTGTCCCCTTGGGCTGCCCTGGGATTGTCCTCTGTGAACTCAGGCCACGCCCACAGACTCCTCGGAGAGTGTGGAGCCCCTCCACAGTCGTGCCCACCCCCTAACCTCTCTGTCCTCGTAGTGGAAATCGTGGACTCCGTGGAAGCCTATGCCACCATGCTGAGGAACATCTTCGATTTCAACGCACTGAAAGAGCTGCTTTCTGGCCCAAACCGGCTGAAGATCCGCATCGACGCCATGCATGGAGGTACAGGCGGGTGCTGTCTGGGTGCACGCAGTTCCTGTTGCGGTCACCTTTGGGCAGGCGTGCGGCATCCACTCTGGAGCTGTGACAGGGAGGCCAAGGGCAGTTGAGGCTCTGCACCGTGAGCCAGCAGGAGGCCGGGTTTGTGTGGGTCACGGGCAGCTGATGCTCAGCTTCGCCCTGCCCGCTGGAGCCATGAGTTCTTCCTGGGTGTTTCTGAGGGCGTCTCCTAACCCTCTGTCGCTGTCACCCCCTCACGGCCCGTTCCCCTCCCCTGTGCTCTGCACAGTTGTGGGCCCCTACGTGAAGCGGATCCTCTGCGAGGAGCTGGGTGCCCCGGCCAACTCGGCAGTGAACTGCGTCCCCCTGGAGGACTTCGGCGGCCACCACCCTGACCCCAACCTTACCTATGCAGCTGACCTGGTGGAGACCATGAAGTCAGGAGAGCATGATTTTGGCGCTGCCTTTGATGGAGACGGGGTGGGTACAGCTCGGGGCGGCCACGCTCAGTCTGAGGGGTAGGGGTGGGGCGGGGGGAAGGCTGCACCTGCCAGGCCCCACACTCCTGTGGAAGTCAGGCCCTACTGTTTAGCTGCACAGCAGCAGGTGGTGAGGTCCCAGGTGCGTGGAATTGGGGAGCCTTGTGGGCTCCTGAGCCTGGATACCCGAGTTGAGGCAGCTTTCTGTCCGCAGCTGGCAGCTGGCTGATCACTTAGCTTCTGGAAAGGTTGTGGTGGTGCACACCTGTCATCCCAGCACTTGGGAGGCTGAGGAAAGAGGCTCACTATGAGTTCTGGACCAGCTGGATTACATAGTGAGAACTAGTCTCAAAAAACCAAATATATCTCCTATGCCTTCATTCATATTAGCTTAGTGATAAAACTAATTTTATAACTCATGTGAAGACTTGAAAGAATCAACCTTTTGATCTTCCTCTACAGTTAAAATCTTTATGAATGAATGTTTTTATTTTCCTGGTGGTCTTGCAAAGGCAAGAAGAAGGTGTGTTCGGATACAGCTTGGGGCCCTTCCTGGTCTCTAGCAGAGTGGGTTCTGTATGTGTTTATTTGAAAGTGCAAAATTTATTTCTGTTGTTACTGCTGTTCTCTGTGGGTCTAGAAGTCACTGCATCCTGAAGACGCCCTGTCTTGCATGGGACCTGCGCACTTGCAGGGCGGTGGCAGGTACTACTGCTGTCTGCCCTCTGGAGCGGTGTGATGGCGTCCTGCTCCTGCCACAGGGAGAGGATGGCAGTGTGTTTTGGGTCCCTGGTGAAGGGACAGGAATCCAGGAGCCTTCCTCGACACCTGCCACTGTTCCTCAGGGCAGCGCAGCTCACGTGTGCCCTGTCTTCCGGGAAAGCTGAGACGTTGGCTGCTCTGGGGGGCAGCAGGTTTGGGCTCAGAAGGGCATCATGCCCTTGTTGAACAGCTTGGCCCACGATACCATGCAGATCCATTAGGGACGAAACCCAGGTTGAAAGCCGTGTGAGCTGGGAGCGCCGAGCCCCTGGGCAGGGGCTGTGCGGTGACCAGGCTCCCTCTTCGTGTCCCCTGCCAGGACCGCAACATGATCCTGGGCAAGCATGGCTTCTTCGTGAACCCCTCGGACTCCGTGGCCGTCATCGCCGCCAACATTTTCAGCATTCCGTACTTCCAGCAGACCGGCGTACGCGGCTTTGCACGCAGCATGCCTACCAGCGGTGCCCTGGACAGGTGTGTGTCCTGGCTACCCGGTCCTCGTGGGCCCTGGCACTGCTGGCCCTGGCCACCTCCAAGCACAACTGCTTCTGGTGCCCAGTGTGCCAGACATTTCTGGAGCAGGGGTTTGGCACACAGCTGGCGACCCTCAGAGCACCCAATATCCACACTCCACCCCATCTTTCCACCCTGTGTGCATAGCCTCGCCCTGCAGTACTGCAGAGAGGATGGTGACTTGGCACCCTCCAGGTTGCCTGACCGCTGTGGCCTGGCACCTAAGAGTGGCATGTGTGTGTGCACCATGTGTCCTTTAAAAGCCAAGTGAATGGATAGATGGAGTGCCACTGGATGAGTGCGCTGGGGCCCTTCCTCGCACCCCCTTGCTCTGGCTGTGGTGTGGGCGGGGGACATGGCCGCTGGAAGGGATTCTAGCTTCTCCAGGACGGGGGTGCTTGGGTACCACCAGCTCTTTGGTTCTGATTCACCCACAGGCTGCATGGAAATCTCCAGTAGATGAGATGGGAAGGTCACTACACCCCATGTCTACGCAGTAGAAACCAGTGACAACAAATAGCTAGAGCCTGCGCAGCTCGTGTGTGTGTGTGTGTGTGTGTGTGTGTGTGTGTCTGTCTGTCTGTCTGTCTGTCTGTCTGAGACCTCTGTACAGCTGGCTTAGGAACACACATTCAGAAGAATCAAAAGTAACACATAATGCAGGGGGCAGACAGGGAAAGTGTCACTGGGACATGCCATGTGTCCAGGACATATTTGCTGAATGAACAGAGAAAGTGAGAGACACACACAAAGGGAAGGAAGGAAGAGAAAGAAAAAAAAGGGAGGAAGGGAAGGAGGGAGGAAGAAAAAGATGAAAAGTTCCAGGGTGGGGAGAGTGGATAGTGAAAGTCCAGACTCTGTTTGAACACTCAGCCCTTGATGAGCATCACCTTGTCCTGGACCCTGAATTCATTGTGTTTTAATTTAGTTCTCATGCCAGCCCCATGAGGTGAGCGCTGTGCTTAGCCCCATTTGGCGGGAGACCATGAGTGGGGTCAGGCTCCAGCTGAGCCGAGCACCCTGGGCTGGGCCGCTGTAGTTGGTGCTAACGAGAAAGTGGTGGATGAGGCCAGGAGCGGTGCTGACCCGGGTGGTGGTGGTGTACTCTCCGCATTCCACCTGGAGGACCTTGGCATCCCACCGTGGAGAGGTCAGAGGACCCAGAGCCCTACCTCAGCTCCGGGCTTTGCACCCTCCTGAGGGCCTCCCATGAGGCCCCCACGTGCCTGGTGCCAGCTCAGTTCCAATGTTCAGGGGAGGCGCCCACCTGAGCGACCCCTTGCCCACTGGGAGGTTTAGAAAGCCTTGGCTCGATTTCCCTAGCCTCTGGACCTGAATTGTTTGCTAGGAAGAAACAGGTCACAGGCAAGCTGTGGGAGAGACTTTCTGGGTAATTTTCAGTGTACAAAGGAAAAGGTTTGTTCTTGTGTTCTTCAGAGCTTTCCTTTTAATTATTCACTCGCTTGATTTTGGTGCTGGGATGTAACCCAGGCTTCACATGTGCTAAGCACGCGCTGTGCCACCGAGCCGTGTCCTCAGCCCACGCAAAGCTTTTAGGTAGCATAAGGATCTCAAGAGGGAAGTGAAAGGCGAGGCGAGGGGACCCTTGACTGGAATGCATGGCTTCATCCCCTGGCAGGCTGAACCCTGGGCCCCTGACGCCCTGCCTGTGTGGCATGGTCTCCCCTGGCCCTGGCCCTTTCCCTGTCAGACACTGCCCTCCCGCACCCTCCCTGTATGCTGCCTGGTTGTCAAGACCCTGCTCTTCTGCACAGGATGGTTACAGAGGAGGCTGAACCGGAGGAGGGGCTTGCAGCACCCCCAGACAGCTGGGCACATTTTCCTGCTGCTGCTTCCTGCGTTCTCCTCCTGCTTTCCTCCTTCCCGTGGTCCACGTAGTGGCCTGCTGTGCCCTGGTTTTCACTTGCTTTCTTAGCCTTCAGAAGCGCGCAGACCCAACTCTGCGGAGTCGGACCCGTGGTTACAGTGCCAGCCTCCCACCCCCACCATCATGGTCCCCCCACCATGTGACTGTGGCTTCTTGCCTTTGAAGGGTGGCAAGCGCTAGCAAGATTGCTTTGTACGAGACCCCAACAGGCTGGAAGTTTTTCGGGAACTTGATGGATGCCAGCAAACTGTCTCTGTGCGGAGAGGAGAGCTTTGGGACTGGTAAGCTGTTCCCTGGGCTGGACTGCCCTCCCCTCACTGCCACCTCCAGTGAAAGCAGAGACGGCTGAGATAGTCCCGAAATAGCAGCGGTGGCTTCTCCAGAACCAAGTCGCGGTTTATTTATAGCAGCACTGATGAAGGCTGCGCTCTCGGGAGGGAGGGGCCACCTGCAGCCAGGAAGACGCCCCTTATCCCCGAGGGCCGCACCTGCTGGGGGCAGAACGCTAGGGCAGGAGGTAAAATGAAGGCCCTGCTAGCTTGGACTGAGTGGGTGGTGATCAGGAAGTTAAAGGGTGTGCTGTGAGCTGTAGAAGGGCTGGGAGAGGGCATGCTCTGGGGTAAACCAACCTTAAACCCCGCCTCTGACCTGTCCAGTATGGATGTGGCCATCCACCTCCTCCCTGATTTCCTGCTACCTCTTTCTACCTACATTAATTTTATTATCATTATTATTATTATTACTTATTTTGCAGTACTGTGGGTTGAACCCAGGGCCTTCACACTGAATTATATCCGTGGCCCATTTTTTAAATTTTTACATCGCGACGGGGTCTTGTTAAGTCACTAAGTTGTCCAGAGTGGGCTTGAACGTGTGGTCCTCCTGCCTCAGCCTCCCAGAGTGCCGGGTTGGCTGACATGTGCCACCATGCCCGGCGTTTCCAAGCATCTGTTCACCCTTTGAAGCTGTTTCCCCTGCATGCTGGTCTCCAGCCAAGCTGCAAGGTACTCACGTGGCTGTGTGTCTTCTGTTTGTTGTGCCCAGCATCTTGAAATAAAGAGACCAACCTTCATGGTTCTCTAGAACCCCACAGCCACCTTTCGCAAATAAAGACAACAAAGCCAGGCATTCTGTGGGCCTCGCAGCTGAGTTGTAGTTCCTGCTCCGTTAAATAGAACACAATCCCACCTTGGGTGGCCATTGCTCATTCTCCTCATGGGTGAAGAAACATGTTTGGGAGCCAAACGCCATGTCTGGTTTTGTTTCCCTATCCCATGGAGCTGTGTCAGTGCCGAGCTTACTAGAAGAAAAGTCTATAACCAGCTTCCCGAGTGTGTGGGTGTGTGGAAGAATACTAATCCCATCAGCGAGTTTTGGTGTCAGCAAAGATTGGGAAACTTGGAATGTACTACTCTGTCTTGGTTATTTACAGTGCCATTTGAAGGTTCCAGAACATTTTGGAACCTGAAAAGAACATTCTGGAAGGAATCCTAATAGTATAGCTTTACCCAAAATAGTTGTCCACTATATCTTTTTCTTTTAGTTTGTTGTGTATCCAGTCTGTGTATATCCCACATGGACACCCATGTGGGAGGCATTGGGGAAGAAGGACCAGAGCCTAGAGCCAAGGAGGGGTCCCTGTGTAACTGACTGAGGAGAAGCCTGGAGACCAGATAACAGGAGCTGTTTCTGTTTCTGTGTTTGGCAGTAGCCTTCTAGTCCTCTCAGGTCCTGTGGTGCCCAGACCGCCTGGCCCTACTTCCCTGACCATCCTTCACTTCATGTTGTCTCTAGGCCCAGCACCAGCTTCTAGAAACTTCTGTGGTCATTCCTGCTCCTCTTGGAAGGTCACATTCTGACCTGAGCCCTGGCCTCCCAGAGACCAGATGTCTTTCCTTCTTTCAAGGGACTCACACGTGTCAGCTTTTAGGGCTTTTTTTAATAGTACTTTTTTTTAGCCCACATCAGGTTGTGGATTCAACTGATCTTTGATGATTTTACCCATGAGTGTTGTCAAGAAAATTCCTCCATTATGTTGGTGACTAATTCCTTTGAAGGAAGGTGGCAGACTTTAGGCTCTTTCTTCCCAATCTGTTCTTGTTTGTCAGCCCATTCAGCAAATAACTAGTTTCCACCATGGCTGTATCTTCCCTTCATCTTTTGTATCCAAAGAGAGACTGCATCATGAGACCAGGGCTCACGCTCTCCCTCTCCCTTTGGAAAAGAAAAAATTGCTAAGAAAAACAGTTTGTTAAAGATGACTACCAGGCATGATGGCTTATGCCCGTAATCCCAGCAATCGGGAGGCTGAGGCAGGAGGATCCTTGCGAGTTCAAGACAAGCCTGGGCTACAAAGTGAGCTCGAGGCCAGCCTGAACTGCATAGCAAGACCCTGTCTCAAAAAGACAAAAAAAAGGTAAATTGTTAAACACAGGGAGTGTCTGGAGACATGCCTGGAATTCTAGCACTCTGGGAGGCTGAGGCCAGAGGATCACAGATTCAAGCTTGGCCTGGACAGCTTGGCAACTTAGCAAGACCTTATCTCAAAATTTTTTTAAAAATCGTTGTAATTATGTGACCTGGGCTGTCTGGCCCTGGGCCTCCAGTGCTGTGACCGCATGTGGCTGGGCCCTGCTCCTCCCTTACAGAAGTGTCACCTCCCCCTCCACACTCTGGCCGGGAGCCTTCCCAACAGCTCCTTTACAAGTCTTTCTGGGTTGAGGTGAACGAGCCCATGAGCTCAGAGGTGTCTGAGTGCTAGCCTTTGAGGGCCAGGACTCCAGTTCTGAGTTTCTCAGCGCGGAAGCAGGGAGGCCGCTGTCTCAGGACGCTCCTGACCTGCAGAGCTGGCCGGGGGACCCCCCGCTTGTTGGTTCTCCTGGCACCCCAAGATTTCGTTGTCCTGCTCCCCACGGCTGTGAGGTCACAGTGTCTTAGGTGCCTGGACTCCTGCCTGCTAGTCCCACGAGACAGAGGCTCCTGGTGCATGGGGCTGTTCCCATCATCCTCACTGCCCTGTCTTGTCCCATAGAGCTCCACACAGGATGGGTCCTCGGGAAGTGCTGAGTGACTGAGTGACCCTGTGGCTGTGCTCACGCTTCCCTGGCCCCTTCTGTCTGGACCAGCAGCTCCTGTTGTTGGATGGAAGCTGTGAAGGCCGTTTGATGTCATTTCCTGCATGAGGCTGGAGGTGGCTGGTCACTCCATGTCCCTGGAGAATCCTCGAGTAGAGGACTCAACGCCACTGCCTCTCCGGAGCCCTGGGAAGAAAGGAGGGTCAGGGCTGAGAGCTGCTGAGGTGCAGGTCCAGCCCACCTGGTCATCACACTGCTGCGGGGGCGCCTGCAGAAGAAGCTGAGACACCAAGGCCACATGGGTCCCTCCGAGGAGGAGGAGCAGCTTCCTCTGGAGATGAGCAGGACCAGGGAGACCCCCAAGTGACACAGCCCAGCTGGTGGCAAGTGTTCTATGATGACACCCAAGCAGGCAGCGCCGTCATTTCAGGCTGATCTTTCGGGGCCTTGCCGCTCTTCCTCCTCACTGTGGACGGTGACACGCGTGTGTCCCCTGTGACAGAGGATGGAGTGTCAGCTCTGTTCACCATGGGCTTGTGGGAACACTGGAGCTGCTGAGTAACACAGAAGGTCACTACTTCTGTAGCCCTTCATCAGTACGTGGGGCTCTCGGAGGGGATTTGCAAGCCCAGCTGGAGATGAGCTCATGGTTGAGCTGGGTCACTCAGAGGAGACGTGCTGATGGGTGACGTTACGTCATCTGAGAGTGACAATGTAAGCACTGCATGGTCAGCGCGCTGCAGAGGTCTTTCCCCTGGAGTGTCAGGTTTGCACTCCAGGCGTGGATTAGAGGGCAGCGTGCTCTGCTGCCTGGGGCGGGGAGCCTAAGCCTGGCAAGGAAACGCAAGTATGCAAAGCTTAGTGGGCAACTTACAGTGTGTGTGAGCTCTGTGCTTGGGCCGCCTGCCCTGCCTCCGGATCAGGTGCGAGGGTCAGGGTTTTTGTCTAGATCCCTGCCTGATCCGTGGCCATCCAGGGACAGCCCTCCTCTGAGGACTGTCTGTGGGCCTGGCATCCCTATGGTACGGTGCAGGTACAGGGTGTGGAGAGCAGAGGGGTCCAGGGTGGCACCTGGGCAGGGCTGGGCTGAGGTAGTCCCAGGTACGGTCAGCCTGATGAGTGAGGCCTGGGGTACAAGTGCCCGGTAGAGAGAACACATGCTCAGGAGGACAGAGGAGAGGTAGAGATGGAGAGAGAGACAGCAGACAGACCGAGGCAGCCCCTGTGGGCAGGCAAGGCCAGGCCGCTCCCGAGATGCCCAAGCTGCTTGCAACCTAATCCCTGACTGTTAGCCCCTGGCCCACTCCACGGGGCTTGGCAGTCTGCTTGGCCAGGGCCAGGAGCGAGTGCCCCAGCTGGGCCGGGGCCTGCATGGATCACGAGGTGCTGAGCGAGCTGAAGTGGAGGGACAGGTGTGTGGGGTGCTGAGTGGGCAGGATCCCTGGCGCCCACGGACCTGAGCCAGGGTGGAAACCAATAACTGGCAGCCAAGCCCAGCACCAGCTTCGTGCCCACAGGGAGCCAACCTGGCCAGCAGAGCTCACCCTGGAACGGGAGTTTTTGCGTCCACCATAGGAAAGCAAGAACACTGGAAAACCGGTTCCCATGGCCAGAGGAAGTGGTGTGTCGGATTACCTGCCTCTGTTTCTTCCTCAGGATGCACAAAGAACATTGTTTCTGAAAGGTTGACAGGATCAGTGCACAGTACCTCGCTTCTCCCTGAAAGCTTGCATGTTTTCTTTATTCACGGTGGCGCTGGGCGTGCAGTACTTAGCTGTTCACAGAGTTCTCCCCTCGCCTCGCTGCAGTGGTTTCCATGGTTGTGCGGCAGGTTGGCTTTATTCTCATTTTACAGGTGACAGAACCTAGAAAAGAGGCTCAGAGAGGTAAAGTGGCTCCCCCAGATTCAGACAGCATATGGGGAGTAGAGCGTTAGATTTGGGTTTTCTGTTTGTGAATAGGAAGCCTTTTCCAGGGGATCGAAGGCGATCAAGTGGTGATATGAGAACACACGTGTACCAGTTCTGCGAGATGGGTGTGAATGTTGTGACCTGCAGACGTCCCAGTGCCTCTTTACTTCCCCAACACCGGAACAAAACACCCAACACCCACAGCGTGGGGAAGAGGGGGTCGGGCTCAGCTTCAGGTCCTGGCTGACTGGCTCCAAGGTGACTGGCACAGTGGACACAAGGCTGCTCCTGCCATGGTGCTCAGGAAGCAGAGAAAGGGAAAACTGGGAAGAATGTCCTCCCCCAGGCCACCCCTCAGCGACTGCTCCAGCTGGGCCCCAGCTCCTAACTGCGCCTGAGTTACAAATTCACCTGTGAGTGAACCCGCTAGTGAGCAGAGCACCCCACGTTATGGCCACGCTTCAAAAGCATGAGGCCGTTTGGGGATATTTTTGATACAGACTATAACATTCCACCCGACCCCCAAAAGGCTCCCGTGCTTTTCACTTAGTCCACATACACGTCACCGAACAGTTTTGGCAGTGGGGAAACATCGGGTCCAAAGACTCCTGTAAGCCTCAAGGCAGGCTCTCGGCTGTGCTTCTGTGTGACAGTGAAAACGGAAAGTTGATGCATCCAGCAAACAAAGGCACAGGGTAGATGCTCCCATTTTAAAAGGGAGAAGATAGAGGAGAAGAAAGAAATGAGCCTGAAGTGGGACCAAAACTCTGCAGGGCAAACATTAAACCCCGCAGCTCTGTGTCCAGCACCTGGGCTAACACTGGTAGGATGTGCGTGCCAGAGGGCACAGGTGGCCCTGCCCCTACACATCGAGGGCTGAAGCCCTCATGGTCAGGAGCTGGCCTGTCTCCTAATCCCCTGATGAGTGTACAGTGAAAGTAAAAAACAAGAGTAACACGGTATGCAGGTATGCGGGAAAATCAGTGCTCCAGGAGCTGCCACCCTGGCTTCTCCGACTGGCCACCGTTTATTTGTGTAATATATTAGGGAGCATGCAGAGAGTGGCTGGACCCAGAGGCGGGACAGTGACCATGGCCTGGTGAAAACGGAGCAAAGACGCTCCACACCGTACCTCTCCACTCAGTGAGAGATTGCTTTATCTCGGAGGTTGCAGTTACTGCCCTGCAAGTTCCAGTGAGAGTCAGTGTCCCCAGGTGTGGCATTACCAAGCCTTCAGAGATGTCACAGTGTCATAGGCCACTACAGGCCTTTACTGTGACTGCAGGCACAGACAGCTCTATTTCTGCGTGCTGGCCATAGCTTGCCAGGTAGGTCACTTAGGCCTGGGACAGACTCATAAGTAATATGGGAAACCAGTTGATTTTGCTGAAGCCCAATCAGTGCCACCTCGGTGTGGTCTCTGTCGCTCGTGGTCTCTCTCCTGGGCAGCCCTGCTCACTGCCTGGAGCTTTCTGCAGCAGGCATTCCCTGTTCCTGGCATCTCCAGCTTCTGGGATCTCCACCGGACTCTCAGCTTTGTTTTCACAGCTTCACACACTGCCCAGTCGGGCATGCTCCCTGGCCTTCCAGGGCTTTCTCTGGGATCTGGGCAGGAGCCTTCCTGACCCCACCAGCAGCAGTAGCAGCGAGGCCTCCTTGCCATGGCTGAGTGCCTGGATGGTTGAGGACTGGGAAGCAGTGGGCAGCAGGGTCACTGAGGGGCTGCGAGGCGCTGTGTAGAGTCAGAGCACAGATCTAGACAGTCTGCACTCTGCCTTGTTTTAGAAGAACTTCCAAAGCTTCTTTGAGAATGAGAGCCCTGTCTTACAGAGTGTTCTTCCTGGACCTCATCACAGGTCCAGAAGTGTGTCTGTAATCTCAGAAAAGTTTCTGGAGTTCCAGCAAATTCTACTGTTTCCAGTGTGAGAATAAAGACACTGAGGATTGTTTAGAGCTGGGTGCCAAGGGGTCCTGAATCCAGTGAGGGTGATGGTACCCTGGCATAAAGGGCTGAACCCAGTTTTATTGATTCTCCATGAGGGGAGTGGTTCGGGGATGAGTGACAGAGAGTGACCGGAAGTACGTGAGTGCTGTGAGTCAGACTGGGGAGGAGGCCTCGGTACAGCGGGGAAGGGTGAGCAGGAGTAATCTGCATAGCCTGCACTGTGGTGGCAGCTACCGTGCTGGGGGCCGAGCTTTAGCTCTGACCTGTAATTTTCTACCTTGGGGAGTCACAGGGTGGGGCCCTGCCTGGGGCCCTGTCCTGGGGCCCCACTCACCACAGAGCTCAGCCCCGGGAGGAGCTGCACCCTCAGTGTGGTCCAATGTGCCCATAGGTTCTGACCACATCCGGGAGAAGGACGGGCTGTGGGCCGTGCTTGCCTGGCTGTCCATCCTGGCCACCCGCAAGCAGAGCGTGGAGGACATTCTCAGGGCTCACTGGCAGAAGTATGGCCGCAACTACTTCACCAGGTAGGCATGGCCGTGCCGGGTGGCATGGGCTCAGCAGAGACGGAACCAACTGTCCTTCCACCGTCCACCGTCTACCATCCCGTCCACCATCTACTGTCCACCAGGAGGGCCAGGTCGGGTCCACCTCTGGCGGGCGAGGGGAGCAACACGGGGAGCGTTTCTCCATCCAGGGCTGGGGAAGTACTGGAGTTGAATTCAGAACAGCGGCTTGAATCTTATTTCTACCTCTCGCCAAATTGACAAATCATTCACCATGAAATGAAACAGGTCTGAGAGTGTTTTCTGGGCGCCAGAGCCCTGAAAGCTTTTACCAGCTTCCTTTTAACGAGAACAACTGCTTTTTCACCCAGATCCACTTTCCTGACTGTGAAATAGGTCCCCAAAGCCCTGTCCTCCTGTCCTCCTCAGTCCTCCAGCACTGGCTCCCTGGTGTCCACAGTGCACCCTCTCTCCGTCCGCACAGAGCACGCCACGGGGAGCACACAGCCAGACCCTAGCAGCCCCCCTTGGCGTGTGTGCTTCAGGGTTGAAGAAGCTCTTGCTGTTGGGGCTCTCAGGGTGTCGCCCAGGGGTGGAGAACGTTCTTAGCTTCCCCACGGCCCTGGGTCTGTCCCCAGCACCATGCATTGGTTTGTTTTGCTTTAACCAGTGATGTTTTCCACTGACCCCCATTTGCCTGGCCCAGTCAGGGCAGATCTGTGACAGTTACTTCCTTGGACCTCAGTATTCCAGCATGGTAGGCAGCGTTTATCTATAGCAAACGCGTGGGTGTCATTTGCCCAGACTTCGGTTGCTTTTCTTATGAAATGGGTGAGTTTCCCATGGTCCTTGTGGTACTGGGAAGTGAAGCAGGGGCTTTGGCTCTGAGCACCATCCTGGTCCTTTTTAATTTAATTTTATTTTTTGCTTAGAGACAAGGTCTCTCTAAGATGCCCAGGCTGGGCTCAAACTTGTGATTCCCCTGCCCCAGTCTCCCAGCGTGCTAGGATTTAGAAAATTAAAAAACTATGGTTCATAATCTGGGACCCTTGCCCCTCATCCTGCTGAGAGTGTGGTGGAGAGCAGGTCTCGGAGGGAACAGCACTGCTCTGAATGTCACAGCTGTGTCCTCTGTGGCTGCTCAGTTAGGGTGACCCCAAGGCACCCTGCACCGGAATCTGCCACCTTGGCATCTTGGCCGGCCCCGGGATGGCTGGGTACCCACCTTGGAGTGCAGATGGTGTGAAGCTTTGGAGGGGTTCACACATGGAAGCCTCGGGGTCCCTTCCCGGAGTCCCTCCGTTCCTCCTCGCCTCCTCTGCCCCAGCGACCCTGGGGCGTAGTTGAGCAGGGGACTGGATGGGGCTGCTGTGCCACCTCTTCCAGGTACGACTACGAGGAGGTGGATGCGGAGGCAGCCAGCAAGATGATGAAGGACCTGGAGGCGCTGGTGCTGGACCGCTCCTTTGTGGGCAAGCAGTTCTCGGCCAATGACAAGGTCTACACAGTGGAGAAGGCAGACAATTTTGAGTACAGTGACCCGGTGGACGGCAGCGTCTCCAAGAACCAGGTAGGACCAGGTGCATGGGGAAGGGTCCCCTCTGCCACCAATCCCGGACTCTGCTGCATGCGTGGGGAGCAGCTGAGCCCTGGTTTGGTGTGGCTCCCAGCTCCCTCTTTCTGGGCTTCCGATGAGAGCACTCTCACTTCTGAAGTCACCCCAAGTTGTCACTTGGCATGCAGGTGTGAGAGGAGCCAGGAATCTAAACAGCTGACCGCATGTGGCCTTAGGTACAGCTCCACTGGCTCCTTCCCCTCCAGAGCTGCCCAGAGTGACACCACTTGAGGGACACTGCCACACTTGTGTCTTTTGCATGCTTAGATTCCGAATAAGAACTTAAGTAAGGCAGTCTTGAGCCAGGCATGGTGGTGCACACCTGTCATCTTGGTTCTCAGTAGGCTGAGGCAGGAGGATCGCTGCGAGTTGGAGGCCAGCCCGATCCACATAATTTAAGGCCAGCCTGAATATTCAACAGGCTGTCCTGGACTTAGAAATGTTAACTGTTCACATCTGAGCCACCAGGCCCAGGGGTGGGCATGCAGAATACCATGCCTGGGAACCTGGACCGGCCTGGTGCCGAGGTGACCAGGGCTCCTACGCTGGCTGCTTCAAAATAAGGGCAGCAGGCTGGTCACCAGCATTCAGTCCAGTCACCTTGCCCACCACAGAGTGGGCTTGGCTGGACTCTGGGAAATGGAAGAGGTGGGAGGGGGCAGCGGCCAGGTACCCCATGGCCCGCTTTGATACCTAGCATCAATGGGCAGTGCCTGCCGGGCCTCTGTGGCTCGTTGTCACCATCCTGAGCTGTGGGTCCGATCTGCACCTGGTAGTGTTGCTCGCATTCTGAGCCTCAAACGGCACGGTGGCCTGGGGAGCAGGGAGTAGGGACAGAGGCCTGTGTCCCCAGCACCCCAAGGCCTGGTCTCCCTCTGCCCCGGCTGGGCTGCACCACAGCCCATGGCAGGTGCTCAAGCTTTCTGCCATGTGGTCAGGAAAACCCTCTGCTGTCCCTAGGGCCTGCGGCTACTCTTCTCGGACGGCTCCCGTGTCATCTTCCGGCTAAGTGGCACCGGGAGCGCAGGGGCCACCATCCGCCTGTACATCGACAGCTACGAGAAGGACGTGGCCAAGATCAACCAGGACCCCCAGGTGACGCTGCGCCGGGCCCCCTTCCTCTGCTTTCCTCTGCCTTCAGCGCATCATCGTGGCAGTCTTAGACTCCAATTGTCACCATTGCCACCGCCAGCACCAGTGTCCTCTGTGTTATGGCTACTTGATTGACCCTGGGGGCCTTAGTTCCCCAGGGGGTGCTGTTGGGCACCTGTCCTCCCTGGACTCGAGTCCCCCTGCCACAGACAAGGCAATGGCTCAAAGTCCTGGGGTGGCACCCTGGGGAGCAGATTCTGGGCACTCTGCCGTGCCTCCTGTCACCATCGCATGCTGCTCACCCGGACTCTGTGGGGAGGGGAGGCAGACCTGCCTCGGGACCCAGCAAGCCCTGTCGGGGTGTTTACCCCACGTGATACTTGTGCCTGCATCCCTGCACCTCTGCCCCCTCAGCTAAGAGAGGGATCCCCGCAGTGCCCCTTCCAGGCTGGGTTAGGTGGGCAGAGCCATCTGTAGCCATCCCAGCCAGGTCACAGGGACGATCGTGATCATATCTCGCCAAGAGTGACAAGGGCCTAGGCTTGCTCTGGGGACTGCAGAGCAAGACTCAGACGCGCCCTGCCAAGGCTGGTAGTTTCTGAGTAGGACCCATGGAGACGGCAGAAGGAAGCAAAATGAAACAGAAGCTTGGTTGCCCTTGGGCAGGATGCCCCGTGTCCCTCTCCTCAGTCCCAACCGGCTGTCATTCCACCTTGTCTGTGAGGTTGATAATGGACACTTCCTGTACTCAGGAGAGTGGCTTTTATTACAGACGGGGTGTTGGGATGGAGAGTGCTTTGCGTTGACAGCTTCCCAGCAGCCAGCTCGGCTCCCACAGCCGCCAGGCCCCTGGTGTGTGCTGCACACCAGGCCTTTGGGTTTGCACAGCAGGTCTGGGTGACCACCAGAGGAAGTGGGGAACCATGGGTTGTCCCCTCCTGTGGTGTAACATCCAAGGAGCTGGTCTGTCTGCATCCTTTTCATGTCCCTCCCCTCCACCTGCCATTTGCAAAAGATTAAAAGATGCACTTTAATTTCAGCTGCAGGTCTTTGGCCTAAGCAGGCGGCTGTGTGAGGAAGAGGGTGCATTTGAGGGGCCCCATAAATAGTGACCCAGAGGACACAGACACCCTGGGCTTGGGCTGTGCTGATGTCCCTCTGCTGTCCCTGCAGGTCATGCTGGCCCCGCTGATCTCCATTGCCTTGAAGGTGTCCCAGCTGCAGGAGAGGACGGGCCGTACAGCGCCCACCGTCATCACCTAGGAGCTGGGCCCAGCCTCACCACCCGCCCTGCAGGATGTGGATGGGATATGGACGGGACAGGGACTCAGGTCCCTTGTGGTGACCTCTCCACACTCCTGGGGCGGGCCACGGCACGTGGTGCTCCCGTGTCAGGAGGAGGCTGGCTGCCTGCCGGCCACGCCCACCATGACTCAGTGCTCCCTCCCCATGACCCCGCTGTCCTGGCCCTGTTTCTGTGCAGCGCAGAGGGTGTGGTGGCGCTGGTGCCTTCTCCCCTGAGGTATGTGTGTTGTGGTGCGCTTGGTCCTGGCTCCTGCCTTGTGTCACCAGGATCCCATCTGTGCACGGCTGAGGAATAAATAAAGAGAAATCACTGTCACCTCCTCCGTTTCCTTTTTCTCAGCTCCACGCAGCTGCTTTGATTCTGGGAGGGGGGTTCAGTCTATGCATCCTGGGGTCCCTGGGTGTCCTGCTGGCCCCAATGTCCAGGCTGGACATAGGCTGGGCTGCAATGACAGTTCCAGGGCTCAGGATCAGACTCTAACGTCAAGATGCAGCCAGCCGAGCTGGGGTCCCCTGAGTGCACCCCACCACGAACCCTGTGGTTCCTGTGATCAAGTGGGGTGACTTCAGTGACCTCCCAAGCAGAGGCATGTACCCCATCAGGCTGGGAACAGATGGGGGAGTCTAGGGCCCCAGGCAGGTCCAGATCACAGCATCTGTTCTTAGGCAGGCAGGCTGTGCAACCACGTGGACGCCCGTGCCAGTGCCTGAGCCTCAGCCGCCAGGGACCTGGGCTGCCCCAGACACAGCCTGTGCTGCACACCTGACTGGCAATGGGGACTGAGCCAGGCCAGGTGCCCTGCCTGCTGCTCACTGCACCCTGAGACACAAGACACTGCTCTCACTGCTTGAAACACCGCCCCCCCCCCATCTTCCCTGGTGGCCCCAGCCCCACCGTGCAGGAGAGGACAACTGTGCCTGTTGTGGCTCATGCAGTCAGCATTTCCCTGCTCCCTGTGCCCAGCTCTGAGAGGACAAGGGGAGGAGAGAGGCCTCTGGGTCAATTAGAAATATTACAGAGCATCAGTCAGACAGGGCTGGGCCCTCCGGGGAGCCAGCACAGCTGTGGGGGAGAGGGACACCTGTGCTGTGGGTCACACCTCAGGACAAAAACAGCCACATCCTCAGCATAAAACCTGGAGGGGCTTAGGTGTCACCTCCATCCCAGGGTCACCTTAAGGAAGCCAGAAGGAGCTACTGACCCAGCCTCCTGTAGGCCACACTGACTTGCTTCCCTATTGGATCCCAATTTAATCAGTCTTACCTGAGCAATTATACCCGTCACCTCATTGGTCAACCATCATTCTGTCCCACCTCATACTCACCTTGCAAGTTCTCATTTTCCTCCACCTTGGACCCATCTCACCTCAGGGTTTTGCTCTATAAAATCCTTAGTAAAGGTGGGGTCCTCGGCATCCCACTCCTTGTGTCTCTCAGACAGAAGGGCTTTCTTTCCCCAGTAAATGCATCCTGCTCTTAACCTCTGTGTTCTAGAATTTACTCTTTGATTTCAGAGAACAGGAGCTCCTATGGGGCATCTGGGAGGTCGGGGTTTCTTCCCTCTGTGTCCCATTCAGCTGGGCACCCTGGGTCTGCCCTTCCCACTCCTTGCTGTGTCAGATGCAGCTGAGGTCTGCAGGTGGCGTCTTCCCACCTCCCCAGCCCAGACCTAGCCCAGCCACTGTCACGCCCTGGCCTCAGTGGAGCACTTGGGGCTCAGTGGGAAGGGGGCCCTGGAGACTGGGGTGTGGAGCAGCCCAGCACCCCCACCAGGGCCCATGAGGAGGAGGTGGGCTTGTTTTGGGGTTGGGGAGAAGGATGAGGCAGGCTTGTTTTGGGGTGTGGAGAGGAGGATGGTGAGAAGAGTGGGCTGGAGCTGTCTGGGAGACTCTGGAACCTCTTTTCCCCTCCCTGCTTGCACCTCCCACCCCTGTCCTGGTGTCTGCTCTGAGAGCCCAGCTCCCAGGCTGGGCAGGGGCCTGGACATCAGAGGCCACCATCGCTGCCACCTCACTGCAGCACAGAACATGTCGTAGCCTGGTCCTGCCAGGTTGCTTTGGACACCGCGTCCCTCTGTCCTGGGGGCTGCGCTTTGGTCTCACCGTGTCGGGGACCCTGGCTGCAGGGCACACACAGATGGGGCAGCTTCTTCCCAGCCGGCTTGGTCCTGCTGCCTCCACTTGGCAACACAGAGGCAGCTGCAGCCTGAAGGCCTGTCTTCGCCCTGCCCCACCTGCTGGGCCTCCTCCTCTAGCCACCTGTGCCCCCCATGCTCATGGCCCTGCTGGCCCCTCGTGCCTTCCCGTGCCCTCTGGTCTGGGAGCTGTTCTGGTCCCCTCCTCAGTGTCCCCTTCCCCCTGCTGCCTGGGCTCCTATGGGCAGGGACACTTCTGTCACCAGCATCCACCAGGAGCCAGGCACCGGGCTGTCACCAAGTAGAAACCTGCAGAACTCAGGCCCGGCGGACGCAGCCTTCAGGCTCCCAGAAGAGGGCAGAGGCTTTGTTCTGCTTGCACCTTAACCAGGGGACCAAGTCCCCATTTTACAGGTGACAGCTGACTTGGAGGAGGCTCCCCAGGAATTCGTGAAGATGTTCGGGCTGAGACAGCACTCAGGAGGAGCCGCCTATAGTGCCAGCTATAAGGGGAGACTGAGGCAGGAAGGTGTCTTAAGCCCAGAAGTTTGAAGCCAGCTTGGGCAACATACTAATCCCATCTCCAAAAAAAAAAAAAATCTTTAAATTTTAAAAGATCTGATCTATCATTCCTGCCAAAATTAATTAGGGGGTGCAGCTGAGGACTCGATCTACAGAATACAGAAACGGGTTATCTTTCCTCACCCCCTGCAGAATCTCCTGCCCTGCCCCCTGCACCTCCTGCCCTGCTATAGGGCAGGAAGCACATAGATCCCAAAAGCTTGGAGCTTCTCTTCATCCCTACTGTGTATCAGGACATGTCCCCAAAGCAGGCATGTCACCACACAGAAGGGTAGTGGGTGTCGCTGGAATACAGTTCATGTCTGTCTGTCCGCGCATCTATCTGCCCTGTGGGAGCTCTTGAGAGAGTCAGTGCCTGGCTTTCTGCCCATGCAAAGGCCCTGAGGTGCATGATTTTTCAAAAGTCCCCAGTTAAACTAAAGTAGAGTTTGTTGTTTGAAGGGCATGGCTCTTTCCCAGCCACTCTGCAGCTGGAACTGCAGCACACACCCGTGTCTGACATCCTGACTCCACCCTTCCTGCACCCGAAACCAAGCCTACCTCATCCTCCTCCCTGCACCCCAAACAAGCCTTGTGAGTGTTAGGGGGGTTGGGCCTGCTTTCCCCAAATCATGGGTCACTGATGATAATGGTATGCACTGATTGTCTTTGTGTACTGGATATCACTAACCACGCAGCACTATGGTTTAACCCTATTCCCACCCTAAAGGTGTAGATGAGGTGAGAGTCTATGTGAGATACAGTTTACCCACGGTTGAAATTAGACAGTGGTGGAGGTAGGATTCAGTCAGACTGTAGTCTAGATAAAATCAAGAACTAGAACTAGAACCAAACTTCAGCTACTTCCTTTGGGCAATAAAGTTTGAATTAGATCTTTTTTCAGTGATGACTTTACCGATAGAAACTGAACATATAACTGGACACCCATGCTTTTGAGTGTGGGCAGTAGTGATGGGGAAACGGGATGGGGGTGTTGGTACTGGGCACAGGTCAAGACGAGTTCTGAGCAGAAGCACGAGTTCAGGCCCAGGTGTCTTCAGTTGGTGACCCCTTGCCACGCAGCTGATTCTTGCGGGGACAGGACAGACCTTGTCCACCCCATATTACTCGTAAGACCCGCCCACCCCAGTGTCCCTAGATTCAGGTTCCCATCCCTCCTGCCAGGCAGACTGTCTTTGCTGTCATCTGGTGGCTGCAGGAGCAGGAAGGATTACCTTCAGATCTCTTCATAGGGAAAGAGGTGACTCCTGACACAGTGACCAGGAACACCCATACTGCTGGCCAAGACAGTCCCTGGGCCAGCACAGGCCCCGGGGCATCTCAGCAATGACGTGGTCATTGTCATCCCTACACTGCACGGAAAGCCTGCCCTGACTTCCAGACCAGGAAGGAGGTGCCTGGCAGCCCCCGTCACACCCGACCTGCACCTCCCCCCACCCCCACCCCGCTGCACCTGGCTGCATGCTGTGCTCCAATGATGTCCTGGGTGTCACCTAGGCTTGTGCTGGGACCACAGCCATCACATCATCTCCTGGTCGCTGCCATTTAGGGTTATGGAAGCACTGAATTCCCAGCTCTTCGATGACCCAAAACCCAAGGTTTGGTCCAAAATTATCAGATTCTCTCCCAGAATTCAAAATAAGGTGATGACAATTTAGATTAATCTACCCCTCTGAGAGTCGGCCTGTCTCCTCTGGATGCTCCCCTCTCACGGATGGCCGTGGGAGGAGAAATGGTGTCTCATATGACATCCTGAGGGTCCAGGTCAACCCTGGTGCTCGAGGATGCGTCATGAATAAGTTCAAACAGGGAGAAAAAGCCACTCTTTTTTCCAGTGCTGGGAGTGGAACCCAGGGTTAGTCAAAATCCATGCATGTTAGGCCTGACTCTCGGGTGTGCAAGCTGGCCAGCAAAATGTGGGGGGTGCCAGTGCTTGTAATCCAGCTATGTGTGTCTGAGAGAAGGCGTCACTGCTCTCAACACACACATAAGGTTTCTGATGTAGTAGGAAGCCTGGGCTTGGCTGGTACCAGAGCCCCAGATGCCAAGCCCTGCAGCACAGAGCCAGGAGGCAGGTGCAGTGTGCACTTGGAGCTGAGGTGTACCCTGTGTTCCCCGCAGGCCGGCTCGGTGCTGGTAGCTAAGCTTGGCTAAGCGACCTCACTCTGTGGCCGCTGTTCTATTTAGATCCAGATGTCCCCGGAGGCCTGTGCTCGAGGGCCAGCTGGGGAGATAGACAGAGGGGTCACAGGGCCAATCTGTGGGGTGCATCTCCCTTCTGGTATCCCCCTCCCGGCTCCTCCCTTCCCTTTGCTTGCAGCCGCCCTGACTGGTGCTGCTCCCTGCTCGGAGCCCTTTCTGCCTTCCAGCCGCAACCCTGGCCTAGAGTGAGCCCCACAACCTCTCTTGCTATGAGCTGCGGAGAAGGTAACTGAGCAGTTGGTGCAGCCTCCTCTGCTGCAGAGAGCACCACCCGGGCCCAACAGAGCCTGGCGGGGGATCCAGGCACAGGCTTCCTCACTGTGTGGGCCCTGGTCAGGTCTGCCGGGCAGCAGAGCCACCTTTCCATCCCCGCTTGTGTGCTCTCAGGCTCAGTGTGC